TGCAAGAGACTGTCCCCCGCTCCAAAGCACTTATAAGTCTCACTTAATGTACTACTATTTTGTTATCATCATTGTAACCATCATATTCCATCCCTTCCCCGTAGTCCTTGCTCTTTCCTTTATGCTGCATAAACCCTGAAGGCCCATCATCACTGCTACCTACTGCTTGCTTTTGGTGAAGAGCATGCAAAATGCTGGAACCCCAAATCCCCAACTTTCTCTGACCAAGCCCCATGGCTCAGTCATTTCAAAGCACGCTATTACCCAATTAAACCTGACAGCACCCCTACAAGGTAGGGAAGCAATTGCTTATCCCCATTTTATAGACTCACCTACAGCTGCAGAGCTGATCCTTTAGCATTTCAAAATGACTCCCTAAAGCAGGAAGGGTACGAGGACCAGGAAAAATGACTGTACCCTTTCCTCTTCACAGCCTAGTCTCTGCTTCTGAAGACCCTAATTATCAAAGCACTGAAGCACCTGCATAACTTTGAGCAGTCTTAACCATTGAAAGCCCAAGCAGTTGCTTAAGATTACACCAGCCTACAACCAGTTTGCTGAACCAAGGCCCATCTTGAATGCTCTTCAATGACTAGCACCTGTGGAGGTCAGTTAAGCAGCTCTAATTAAGCACAACTATCCACAGCTGTTCCTGGGCCCCCACCCCTGTACCTGACTCTGCCTATAGGGACTGGGGGAAAAACAGATTCAGCTGGGGATGGGGAGCACTGTGTCTGCCTTTCCACACATCTGAGCTGAATTTTACAGGTCCGGGCTGCTTGCCCCTGCAGAAGGGAGCAGAGATCCTAGAGGTTGCTGCAATGCTTCATTTGTTGGCCAACGGAGACTTTTCAACATCAAGACAACGTGACACTTGGGAGAGAAAAGCTCTTAATAGGGCACCTGATTTTAATGCTCTTCTCCTGTCTGACCTGTACTGTCATTTATAATTTAAAAAAATGCTGGAACAGCTCCTGCACCGGTGGAAATGGATGTCACTCCACTTAAGCTAATAGGGCTACAATTTAGGTATCCCTTAAACACTGCCATTTGTATTCTAAATAGCGCCTTGAGACTTTTTTTTCCCCCTTTTATTTGAATTTTGTTGCCTTCCACACCAAATGCATTGGTTACAAAACAACACCCTTTGACCTAGTTTGAATGGGGGGACGGGCGGGGCTTATGTTGTGGAAAAAAATGTGACCTTGCACAGAGTCTCTTTTTTATTATTAAAAAAAAAAAAAGAACAAGAAAATCAATCGTTTTCATTTTTAAAGTGATCCAAACCAACAAACGCTGCTATTCAAAACGCAGGATTACGGTCTGTCACACTGGAAGGTGAATCATCTCGGGAATGGCTTGTGCCTATTCTAAAAATAAGAGCTTGCCTTCATTTTAAAAGCTTTTAAACACGTGGTTAGATCTTTTGGGAAGCTGAGTTTTGCCCCCTTGGCCCTGCCCCGCAGATATCCCCCTGTTTGGGGAAGCATCCCTATGCCAGAAAGATGCTCCTGTTCAGGTCTAGGCTTCAGTTCTCTGAATTTATTTACAGCATTTCTGAAAGGGAAGAAAATGGGCCAAAATGTCAGCTGCTATAAATGAACCTCAGTGGAGCGCCAGCTAATTGTCCATGTTGAAGATCTGGCTAATATATTCATAACAGCCAGGGTTTACAAAGTATGCAAACAGAATTAGTTTGGGTGGAGAAAAGTCTTGCTCTCTCCATCAGTCCTGCCGGGTCCCTTCGACACAGGAAAAATGTTCTGACACCTCCAAGGAGAGCTCCCTGCATTTGGACCCTGATGGCTCATGTGCTGTAGGGATTGGGGGCTGAATGGGCATTCAGTGCAAATGCTTTGCTGATTCAGGGCATGTCGACCCTACAACATGGTTTGCAAAACTAGGGAGATGAATGCACCCGTCTCTAGTTTTGCTGTGCCTAGATCTGCATGCAGCAGGCAAGCATGGGCCTCTCAGATGCCTCCGTTCCTCAGCCTCCCCTGCCATCTGTCCAAGGTCCAACACTTGCAGCCCTTATTCATTTGGGAACAGGATTAGTCATTTCACCCCAAGCTGAGATGCATAGGCCCTTGCTTCTGCGGGGTTGTTCTCCTGGAGTTTGCCCGCATAAATGAGTTTGCAAACGTGAGATCCCAACATGCACAGTGCCATGAGGCCTATAGGATGATGAGACCCTCAGACAACGTACATTCAGCTCTGATCAGCATTGGCCCCAAGCAGCCTTCAGCAGCAGGACTGACCCTGGGAAATGCTACAGAGTTACTCTCAATGATGATGATGATGATGATTATTATTATTGCAACGCACTACATCCTTATCACATCTCTGTCTAATTAAAGCAACACATTCAGGCCCTGATTCAGCAACACAATGAAGCCTGTGCTTATCCTGGAAGTCCTATTAACTAAGCATTGGCTTAGGAGCTTTGCTAAGTTGGGGCTTTAACTAACTTTCTGTGAATAGGGCAGGGACTGAAAGAGTAAGCTCAGGTTTGAATTTGATTCTGTATGGTGAGCAGCCGGCCGGGGCTATTCACTTGCCTCCTCTGAGGATTTCCAACCTTTAGAAGTTAATTTCTTGGCAACTTTATTTTAGAGCAATTTTCAGTTCCTATTATGCCCGCTGCGCTTCATGATAAGTGTGCGGCTCATCTACTATCTAGCGCTCTACAGCCTGGGAGATAGTTCTACCTTTCCCTAGAATAGCAGAGGTGATGTTAGGAAAGCGGGTCTATGGATTATGATAAGGGAATGGGTCATTTTATATGCTGAGCATAGTGACTAACTTTTCTTCCCGTACCGGGGGTTGTGAAGGCTATTTTCCATGCTGCTGTCTATCTCCTATCAATACCAAACATTCAAATACTGCCTGAATGTTAAAAGCAAAAGGCCCTTCCTTTACAGATACGGCATCATCCAAAGGGAATGTAGGCATGGACTTTCAAAATATATATATAAATTAATTTAAGTAGCTGCTTCAAAGTCTAATCAGCGAAATGTAAAGGGTCATGTTCCTTTTTTTTTTTAAGCTAAAGGAGGAGAAAATTGTGAATCGTTTCACAGTTTTAATTGTTTGGAGGGAGCCCTTCCGAAGACTGATTTAGAATTTTTTTTGTCCCTTATACTCTAAAATACTGCCTCAGAAATATATCCCAAACATTGATCTCAGTTACACAGGCATCAATCTAGCCAAGTCGATAGGAGATGCTTTGAATTTTTGCAAATGCAACTGAGATCAGGATCTGATCCTGTGTTGGTAACACAGGGCATCTAGCCCTGTAAAGCACCAAGCACATTCAGTGCCCTTTAAAGGCAGTCTGCAGGGTCAGATCTTAACGTACAATATTATATATGGACCTGATCCTGTTTCCAGTGAAATCACTGCCCCTCGCCCCTCCCCGGAGCCAGAAGTGAGCCCTCGATTTCTATGTTCTTAATTGTTCAGTTGCAACAGTGGGTTTTCCAGTAAAAAATAAAAACCAAAACTCACTCTAAATGATGTGCGAGCATCAATTTGTCGCCTGTTCGAACGGTTATTAAACAAAGCAATTGATTGCTGGTGGGGGGGGGATTAAAAGAAAGCAGAGAGGAAGAAACCTAGCCACCCCTTTTCTAATGAAAATTCAGGAAATGAGAATTGACTCTTGAAAAATAACCTTCTGCAATGTTTTCTGGGTTTGTCAGCAGATATTTATTCTACTTTATGGTGCATTAGTAACTAGATTGTCTTCCATCTCAGAGCCCTGAACTGGTCTCAAGTAGGAGAATTTCTTTGTTCAAAAGTCAGCACCAAATTAAAGAGAGCTCCTCAAGCTGTTACTGCAAAATACATACCTAAGGGCTCCTCTTACCCCAGCTACTTTCTTTGCTTCCTTGATATAATACTCCCTACAAAAGTTTCTTTGGCTGAAGTTATTTTTTTTAATGCAGTGTTTTTTAGTAATATCAGGGCTTGTTCCAAAGGCCAGTGGAGACACTGGAAAGATTCCCATTAACTTCACAGGGGTTTGTTCTTAATTAATTTTCTGGACCCCGTCCTCCTCTAAGCCATACCACTTTGCTCGAGTCACTCCTAATGTGCATCCAGGTAATTAAGATAGAAATCTGTCTGGCTGGGCCAGGCTGTGCACTAATATCTTCCACCCATGTAAATGAAATCAATTTAGTTCCACTCGGGCAAACCCCTCATGTAGACGCACTCGAACGGGTTTAAATGCTTTTGCTTAATATTTTACTGAACTAACGACAGCAGTGTCGGCATGCTTTAAACCGGTGTCGGTGCGTCTACTTCAAGGCATTGTGCTGGTGTGATTTGGTTTCTTTTTTTAATTGCAGATTTCTATATAGACAAAACCTCTAAGGGACGGATCCTGATCTGGGGGAAAATTGTTGTAGCTCTGCCGAAGCCAGTGGTTCAGATGTTGATCAAGCAGGGCCCTTATTAGATTTCTGTGAATGCTGATTGTAATTTGTAATACCTGTCTAATTATTCCTACACCGACCCAAGTGGCAATGACTACTGCATGAGATGTAATACTAGGAGGCTGAAAAGTGCACACATTTCTTCCAATGGGACTTGTCTCCTTCAAAAACAAAAAATGTGGTTATAAATTTGGATACTGAGATTTTTTTTTTTTCTTTACTGGCTTGTCTCACCGTGCTGTCATCATTATCCCAGGAGGATAAATACAATGGTCGCAAAGAGATTTTAAAGAAGGCAAAATCTGAGTGCGTCTCAGCTCCGACAGTTGAAGAGCCTGCGTTTAATTCATCTCTCTCTGATACGGTGCTTCTGAATGCAAAGCACCGCACGAAAGAAGGAAGGACCGCTCCGTCCCTATCTGAAACGCGGGGAAACTGAGGCACAGAGATGGGAAGCGGCTTGCCCAGTGTCCCATAAGAACAAAACCAACCAAAGTGCCACCTTGTGAACAACAGCGCCCCATTTTTTCACGCTTATTATTAGTACAGCTCCATGTCCCAAATGAGGACGTGGGCCCTGCTGTTCTGGGCACCGTATGGAGGAAAGGAGACATGGCCTTTCGAAGCTGACGGAGTAAATCAGGAGTCATTCCATTGACACAAATGGCATTGCACTTGTATCAAACAGGGAGGGGGGGGAGAATCGGGGCCAACACGGTGGCAGTAGTGTAAAACTGATCCACGAAAGAAAAGGAGCAAATCAGTTCCCTAATTCAGGAGCGCGGGATATTCTGCCCATATACTAGTAGCTAGAAATTAGAAAACAAACCAGCTTGATTTTCACCCGAGCTCCAGGTGCACAGAGGGAAGAGACGTGTTAGTTAGTCTGTCCTGGTATTTCTTAGCAGGGAGGGGGATTGTCTTTCATTTACTAGCTAATAAAACATTTTTCTCTCCTATTGTGGTAACCTCCTCCCACCCTCTGACCTTTTACATTGGGAGTAATTAGAAGCTACCTGGTGTGAATGAAAAGGAGGGAAGCAAAGGCTTTCTCTGTGGGGCTTTCCCACTTATTGCCTCCCTCCTAGCTC